GGAGGCGTGCGTGAGCCTGGGCCAAGTGGTGGCCACTGTGCGTGCCAGCCCGTCTTGGGTGGACAGTATCCTGTGGGCCGGGAGCAACCGGGTGTGTAGTGGTGGTGGAGTGGACTTCTCCGCTGGGGGAAGCTGTGATATGGAAGTGCCTGGGTTTGTGTGACAGGAGTAGTTGTAAAACCACGAGGAAGGGAAATTGGCCACGATCCCTACATCCCGTGGCTAGCCCACCCACAGAGAACCACGTCCCATGGCCTTCCGAGAGAGCGGCTCCTTCATGGAGGCCAAGGCCAGGACCAGTGCTGTCGGGAAGCCTAACCCCCGAGACGGCGGGCACACGGGCGCACACTGCAGACTGAGGCCGGGCCCACTGTGCGGCTGCCGCAGGCTGTTGGAGGGGGAGGGGGTGGGGTGTGTGTGCGTGTACGTGTCTAGTATCTGTGCGTATGTGTATCTGTCTGGTGTGTGTGTGTGTACACGTGCACGTGCAGGGACTTGTGTGACCTGAGTCAGGGCATATCTGACATCTCTTGGCCTGGACACTGCCCTCCTGGATCTGCCTCTTCCCCGGCCCCTCCCCCACTTCCTGCTGCCTGCCTCCCACACCCTCAGTGCAGGGTCCTGGGCTGAGTTGGGGCAGGGGTTCCCTCCAGGGGCCTCAGGGCCCCGTTGAGCTGGCAGGCGGCAGGCCTGTGTCCCTCCCACCCCCATCCTGCTCTGGTGGGTGTCTGTCTACCCAGCAGTCCATGTGCAGCACTGAGCACTAGCGCCGTGCCTGGAAGACAGACCAGGCCCTCTCGTCCGTCGTCCGCCCATCCCTGTGGCGTGTGCTCGTCCTGGCTGGCCGATGTCAGCAGCCTCCCTGCTTGAAGGCCACAGGCCGTTAGGCTCTGAGCCTGGCTGTGGGGTGGGGCGCGGAGTGCAGATGAGGGAGCAGCCCGGCGGGCCTCTCTAGCCCACTGCCACCCCTGACTCACAATGACCCGCTGGCCAGCACCTCCCACCCAGCAGCCTTGTCAGGGCTCTGTGCACACGTGCCCCGCAGACACGCAGTCACACAGAGACGCACATGCATGCACACAGACACACACTGAGAAACAGATGGGCGGGCCTGGTGCGCCCTGCCAGGTTCTGAGAGCCCACTAGACCCCACAGTGGATGGGATGGGGGCGGGGGGGAGTCCCCTCTCTCGGCACCTGGTTCTGATCTGTAGACTCCAGATGGAGTCAGTGCCGCCCCCAGGGGAGAGCCGTCCCACAGTTCCATCTCTGCAGTGAGATCAGGGAGGAACGAGAAGCCCCGGGCACTGTAGCCCAGGCAGGGCCGTGGGCCTGTGGCTGGGCTACCAGCGCGTCTCCATGCCCCTGAGCTGCGCCCTGTCTCCGAGAGCCCCAGCCCCGCAGGGAGAGACGACTGGGGAGCCCGCATCTACCGCAGGCCTGGAACTGATTACAAAGAACGTTCCATCATGGGAACTTGACGGGCTCGGAGGGCGCAGACCCTCTCAGGCCTGACCGCAGACTGCCTCCCGGGGGGCCTCCTCCAGCCCCATGTGTGCCCAGGCTCCCCAGCAGGCCACAGTCTGGCTACGGCTCCCGAGGGGGCCAGGGCTCGGCACACTACATTGCCCCAAGTGCAGCTCCATGCCCAGCCCGGCACAGACACAGAGCAAATGCTAAACAAACTCCCTGTCTGTGGACAGGGACCTTGCAGAACAAGGTGGACTTGCCCTTGTGTCTCACAGTGATCCTTCAGGACAGGACAGACCTGCCCCTGTGACTTGGAGTGACCCTGCAGGACAGGGTAGAACTGCCCCTGTGAATTTCCAAGACTAACTCTTTAGTAGAAAGCCTTGTCTTTTTCCCATGGAGCTGGCTGGGGGTTTTGAACTTCTGCTCTTGAGGTTAGCAGCCCACTGTGTAGCCAATACGCCCCCAGGGCTTCATTACTAAGAGGAGTCATTCTTGCAGCAGCTGCGAGGCAGGGTGCTCCCCAGGCGTCCTCTGCCTCCTAAGCATTTCAGCCCTGGCCCCGCTCAGACCCTCTGCCCTGGTGTCCAGACTTCCTGAGCCCTGCCCTCACCAGGCCTGGTGCCCTGGCCAGCTTTCAGGGGGAACCCACGGCTGCTGCCTGCCAGCTCCCTGCATCTTTCCATCAGGGTCTTCCTGGCCGTGGTGGGGCCTCAACCATGAACAACAAGCAGTACTACTGACCGGAGAGGGGCAGGGACCCAGCAGGACTGTCGGGTGGGGTGGAGGTGGGGGCTTCCTAAGGAAGGCGTGGATAGCCGAGAGGTGC